TACAGCAGTATTAATTTTGGCAGCCATTTTTAATTTAGTCTTAGTCTTACTCAAATGTACATTTTAGTTATCATATTTAGACAAACTTGTCCTGTTTTTGTTTATTCAATGAAATGTATGAGCATTTTAGTCAGGTTTTTTAGTCAATGAAATATTAGTCATTTCGTCATTCTGTATAATGGTTAAACTGATAAAAATTATTAATGATTGTTGTCATTTGAGAAATTTACTTTTGCATTTCAGGTATTGCACTTTCGGGAGTAAGCACAAATCAATAGAATGTGGACACATACATGGTGTATTTTACCTCATCTAATGTACTGATTTATTATAGGCTTTTTATTATATCAACACCAAAGACTTATGCAATCTCTCTGTCTACATTATGAAAACAGCTAAAACAAACGAAAAATATTATAACAGTGAAATTCCTAGTAATTTCACTAATTCCATAATTGCAATAGTCTATTTCTCTATTAAAACAACAGCGATTGAGAAAGTGTATTTATTCAGCGATCACAATCGCAAACAATATAGTGAGATCTCATGACGGAACACTGACCGGCTGAATGACTCTTTCATTTAGATCGCTAAACTCCAGCTTGTTTGTTTTTCAGATCCCATTATAAATGAGGCTTTTGTTGCATCCAGTGGGGACATAATTATGGATTATAACGACTTATACTGTCTTTTTACGCATTGCATCGCGCCGTGTAAACCTAAAACCATGTCTCCATTTGTGATCGGAGAAATGACAAACAAGCGCTACTCTACACTGCTCAAAACTCGCGTTTGAATCATCAGTGGCAAATCCTTTAAATGAAAACGTACTTATAGTCTGAGAGTCAGAACAGCCGGCATTGTAGTCTACTCTACCAGGATCAGGAAACAGTCCTCCATAAAACACAACGAAACACACGGCGGGCTAGAGTGAGCGGAGGCCGGAGGGCTAGAGTGAGCGGTGGCGGGCGGGCTTGAGAACTAATTCGGATTCGATGAAGGAGCGGCCAGTGGGCTTGCGACAACCACATGTGACGACCCCGGGCTGGACTCCTCTTCGTCCACGATGAAAGCCGATCCGGCGATCCACAGCGCGAAGTTGATGTATTTCCTCAGCGACCAGCACAGATCAGCTCTAGGCATGACGAAGCGGATATAGCTCGCGTAGTAGAGATGTGTAGAGCAGTCTGTAATAACATTTTGTCTCCTTTTTTGATGGAAAAAAAAGAAGTTTTTATCTTTTTGAATACATTTTAGTCTGGTCTTATTTCGTCAACGAAATTGCATGTTGATATAGTCTTAGTTATCGTTTATTGACCTTATTGTCGTCTCGTCTTCGTCTTGTCTTAATCATGGGAAAAAAGCTTGTCAACGAACATTTTTCGTCATAGTCTTTGTTAACGAAATTAACACTATAATAAATACAAGCAGTCAGATATATGAACTGTAGCGTACCTGACGTGGTTTCTCAAGTTAGTGGTATTACGCCCTGCATATTTTATTGTGCGTGACCTTCTCCAGGTCGTGCTTACCAGGTTGTTCTTAAAAGCCGGTTGGCCAATGTGCCCAGATGTCGGCTTTTAAAGTAGTTGGAGGATTTTTAATTACTGGCGTCTCACCTCTCTCCGCCATTAGGCGCGTTCGATTTGAAGCGGCGCTGCGCAGGATGAGTGTATGACATCAACCACGAGAGCAGATGGATCCTTATGCTTCCGAATCGCTCTCGCGGTTGATGTCATACACTCATCCTGCGCAGCCTATTGGCGAAAGGAGGTGAGACACGAGTGCGAGTAATTAAAAATTCTACTTGGTGTCATCCAGTGATCATTCTGCGCAGCGGCGCTTCAAGCCGAACGCACCTAATGTATGCTACCGTGACAAATGACGTCAGAAAAGTGTCAGTACGTTATAATCGGTTATGATCTATTACTGAACCTATACCGAATCGTCCTCGTCTGCATCGCGATGCATCGTAAAAACGATTAATTTCGACACCCATATTAAATGCAACGTTTTAAGAATAAGCACTAGAAGGTCAGCGCCTCAGTCATCCAAGACTCAATTTCTTATAGTGAGGTGAGCCGATATAGCGCTGGATGTCATACACTCATCCTGCGCAGCCTATTGGCGCCTATCGGCGAAAGGAGGTGAGACACGAGTGCGAGTAATTAAAAATTCTACTTGGTGTCATCCAGTGATCATTCTGCGCAGCGGCGCTTCAAGCCGAACGCACCTAATGTATGCTACCGTGACAAATGACGTCAGAAAAGTGTCAGTACGTTATAATCGGTTATGATCTATTACTGAACCTATACCGAATCGTCCTCGTCTGCATCGCGATGCATCGTAAAAACGATTAATTTCGACACCCATATTAAATGCAACGTTTTAAGAATAAGCACTAGAAGGTCAGCGCCTCAGTCATCCAAGACTCAATTTCTTATAGTGAGGTGAGCCGATATAGCGCTGGTTTGTTTTACCATTTCTAGGATGCCACTGAATTGAGCTTTGCAGATTTGTATTTTGAACATATTCTACTATATGAAACAGTTTGGCTAATTTTGTTTAGGCTATTATTAATAAAATTAGAGTCTTCGTTCTCCTCTCCATTTTTCACACATTTGGCATATTTGATTCCTTTCAAGATTTGTATTAATGAGCATAGAAATTGTGGAAGAAAGTGTGCGGATTTTGTATAGCCTATTTATGTCCAGAAATTCTTAAAATAATTTTTTTTTTTTTAAGAATTGTTATTGACCATGGTTTTTCAAACTTTATAATGTGGAAGTGTGAGGAACCCTATCTGTGTGTGAGAATTTTAATTAATAAATAAAATATATTTTAATTAAAATATTTTTTTTCTTTTATTAATTTAATCAGTGCATTGATCCTTCAGAAATCATTCAAATATTCTGATTTGATGCTCAAGAAACGTTTCTTATTATCTATGTTGTAAATAGTTGAGCTGCTTATTTTTTTGTGGAAACCGTGATACATTTTTTCAGGATTCTTTGATTCAAAAGAACAGCATTTATTTGAAATAGACATAAGTTACAAAAGATTTCAGTCACTTTTGCTCATTTTAATGTGTCTTTGCTGAAGAAAAATAATATATTACATTTTTATTATTTATTATATATTTTTTTTCTCTGAATGTTTCTGTGGACCCCCTTGCAGCCCCTTTACCCTAGTTTGAAAACCCCTGTTATAAACAAGTTCTTATGCTTTCTTATGCCTACTAGTATGTCCCAGAAATATGAAAATGTCTAATTTCCATTCACGTTATGATTGCAGGAGAGAAATGCAGAAAATGCCATTGAGGCCCTCAAGGAGTATGAGCCCGAGATGGGCAAGGTCTATCGCCAGGACAGGAAGACTGTACAGAGGATCAAAGCCAGGGACATCGTACCCGGGGACATTGTGGAAGTTGCCGGTAAGAATTTCAACTAAGTGACTATTTTCAATGTTAAATTCAGCTTAGGTGAACGGTGAAGTCTTAGCAGCAGCGGGAACTAATCAGCAACAGGTGAAAAGCAGCCAGTGCTATCATCCATATGGTACGGCTGCTGTGTGAACAGGTTGGTTTCCCAGTGGTTTAGGCTTACAGTGACACTCTCTCTGAACCTTTGTGTGTGATCACACGGTTGCCTCTGGAGAGGTCGTGTTTCATGAGTTTTGCAGTAAAGACTTCCTAGAGAGTACCAATTAGAGCTCTGCTAGTACTTAAAGAAAACACACTGAATTAACGAATTGCTTTGTCAAGTTCATTTTCAACTAATTGCCACAAATTCATCTATCTGAAATTAATGGATGGCGTCACTTTGTATTGCTTGAGAAATGAGAGCTAATGTTGCGTTTTTGTGTTTCCTTTTCTTTTTTTCCTATGTGACTTATGTGGTATTTGAGTTTCACGATTTTCTGTGTTACCAACATATTTCCTATTAAAACAGGAAGTTGAGGAGGTACATATTAGACTTAGAAATAAGTCTCTTATTCTCTCTGTATTAATTAAGCCTGTATTCATTTGATACAAAATACAGTAAAACTAATATTTTTAAATGTAATAACTTAAAATCAGTTTTATATTTTAAAATGCATTTTATTCATGTGATGGTAAAGCAGAATTTTCAGCAGTCTTCAGTGTCACATGAAATCATTCTAATATGCTGATTTGCTGCTTAAGAAGCAGTTCTTATCATTAATAATGTTAAACCATGATATATTTCAGGATTCTTTGAATAGAAGGTTTAAAAGAACAGCATTAATTTGATTTATTTGAAATAATTTGTAACTTGGTAAATGCCGACACTTTTGATCAATTTAAAGCATCCTTGCTGAATAAAAGTATTTATTTCTTTTAAAAAGTCTTACTTAAAAAATCTTAATTTTTAAAGTTATATTTTTTGAAAATACTTAAAAAAACAAAACAAAAAAACATTTGCGACCATTATTTGTTTGGAAAAAGAAATCTAATATAAGGCTATTTGCCACTATTTCTAGTCAAATGTAGGAGGGGTTTATGATTTAGGGGGAGGGGACAATCTCAGTTTTAGAGTTTTTTTAAATTTTTTATTAGGCAATAGTTTGTATAATGCAAGATGAGTCATCAATATTTTTGATCTATTTTCCTGGAAGAGGACGACTGTAAAAGTCATGGACTTTGTAATTTGGTTAACTTTTAGAGAACTTCCACGTGAATTCATCTGAATAGGGATTATCAGGAGTGCCCCTTGCCCTCTATATTGTGTCATGTATGGCCACGTCTCTTTGCTCACTGGAAAAGATCACTAGGTGCTTCCTTATTGCTTCACTCAGTGTTTCACAAATTGGACGGCTGTTAAGACTCTTTCAGCTAGTGTTCAAGTAGCAGTTCACCGTGACTAAGCTAACCAAAACACTTCATCATAAGTGCCCTTAAAGGAACACTCCACTATTTTTGAAAATAGGCTCATTTCCAACTCCCCTAGAGTTAAACAGTTGAGTTTTACCGTTTTCGAATCCATTCAGCCGATCTCCGGGTCTGGCGGTAGCACTTTTAGCTGTAGCTTAGCATAGATCATTGAATCTGATTAAACTGTTAGCATCTCGCTCAAAAATGACCAGAGAGTTTCTATATTTTTACCCGGAGATCGGCTGAATGGATTCGAAAACGGTAAAACTCAACTGTTTAACTCTAGGGGAGTTGGAAAATTAGCCTATTTTCAAAAATAGTGGAGTATTCCTTTAAGAGATTTTCATTTTTGTTTCAGGGCCGGCACACTCTGTTTACACTGTGCGCATGTGTAAGCTTCATATTACCGCGTGTGTCTGTACTGGGCTTGATGAGGTGTGTGCTCAAAAGCTTCAGGTGGAGTTAAATAGCTGCTTAGTCATGATGAGGTGAAACGGGTAGTGCTACATGGTACAGCAGAGCCCCCATCAGCAGGATGGGGATTGGAGGAGCGAATGTTCTCGTGGCTCTGACTAATACCCTGCGGTAATGCAACCAGGTGAGTGTACCCGTTACATAACCTGTGAGGGGTGCCTAAATGGATGGGTCATGCAAAATTAAACACTCCACAGTACTTCTGTGTGGGTGGCGGAGTTGCTAAGGATACATCTAAGGGATGATATTATGGGATATGAATAAGATGCTTTTGCAGAAGCTGGGCTCCATACGACAAAAAAATTAGGCTGCTAAAAAAACAACTTTAGGAGGCAAATTACTTGGTTTTTGTCACCCAAAGAAAGTTTCCCTTACTGTTGATTCAACCTTACAACTGGACCTCATATTATTAAATATATATATTAATATTGGTCAAATAACCAATATAACAAAATATAACAAAAAACAATCATGAATGTTTATCTTTATTTTTCCTTTAAGTTAACTGTTTAATATGTTTAAGTATGTATTATAGTAACAGTTCCTGGTTGATTTTGTATTGGACAACTAAGAAATAACAGTTGCAATTTGGAGTAAAAGCTCCGAGTGATTCATTGAGCAATTCTAATTCAAACTGCTAATTCACAAGCAAATTTAAAGGGGTCATATGACGTTGCTAAAAAGAACATTGTTGTGTATTTGGTGTAATGCAGTGTGTTTATGCAGTTTAAGGTTAAAAAAACACATTATTTTCCACATATTTTACATTATTACAACACCT